AGCTTGATTTTATTATCATATTTTCATAATCCTTTCATAATAAATAATGTCTCTGATTTTTTTAGAAGAGGAACCTGAAGCTCAGGAAGGCTGAGATGTTTTCCGAAGACAAAGTTAGGAAGGACAGAGCTGGGATCTGAACCCAGATCGGGCTGACCTCAAAGTTCATTCAAAATGTTTAATCAAGAGGCTAAATTATTTGCTTCAAACTTGGAGCAAGTAGCAGCTGGAGGCCAGCGGGGGAGGGGCAGTGAGGGGGGGAGACACAGAATCCGAAGCAGGCTCCAGGCTCCGAGCTGTCAGCACAGAGCCCGACGCGGGGCTCAAACTCATGAACTGCGAGATCATGACCTGAGCCGAAGTCGGATGCTTATCCAACTGAGCCACACAGGTGCCCTAATTTTTACATTCTAACTTTACTTTACCTTTTTTAAAAAATAAGCTCTAGGTCAAACATGGGGCTCGAACTCATGGCCCTGAGATCAAGAGTCACATGCTGTATGGACTGAGCCAGTCAGGTGCCTGATTTTTACATTTTTATTTTTTATTTTATTTTATATTTTAAGTCTATTTATTTCTTTTGAGAGAGAAAATGAGCAGGAGAGGGGCAAAGAGAGAGGAAGAGCGAGAATCCCAGCAGCCTCTGCATTGGTAGCGCAGAGCCAGACGCGGGGCTCGAACTCACGAACTGTGAGATCATCGCTTGAGCCAAAATCAAGACTCAGATGCTTGACTGACTGAGTCACCCTGGCGCCCTGAGTTTCACATTTTTAAAGGATTGTTTACAAAGTAAAAAAGCATATGTGACAAAGATGATACATGACTAGCAAAGCCTAGAATCTTCAGTATCTGGCCCTCTGCAGAAAAAGTTTGTCCACACCTGCCGCATACCTTGAGAAGTTTAGACTTTGTTTTGTTATGGGTAATTGTTGCACATATATGAGTAGAAAAGGGATATAGTCAGATTTAGGTTTGGGAAGAGCAGATCTACTGATAGGTTGGATTGGGGTGGGATTGGGAGAGGCATGAAAATGCAAGAAGAAGCCAGTTGAGAGGTCATTGCAGTGGTCCAAAGAATGGCCTTGGAGAACATCAAAGAGAATGGATGCCACAGCTTAGGTGGTACAAATACAGGAAAAGCAAATGCTTACCTGTGGGAGAAAAGAGAAAGGAAGAGGAGAGGGACTCTGAATTTGTTGTAGATGTTGGGCTGGGTAGCTTCCAAGATAGTGTGTTTTAGACCAGCTGAATTTGTAGATCATTCAAAATGCTGGGGCGCCTGGGTGGCTCAGTTGGTTAAGCGTCCAACTTTGGCTCAGGTCATGATCTCACAGTTTGTGAGTTGAGTCGGGGCTCCATGCTGACGGCTCAGAGCCCGGAGCCTGCTTCAGATTCTGTGTCTCCCTGTCTCTCTCTCCCCCTCCCCTGCTCGTGCTTTGTCTCTCTCTTTCTAAAATAAATATTTCAAAAATTCAATTGAAACAGGCAGACATCTGTAGCGAATGACCATTGCAGCCAATGGGGAAGATTAGATTGCCCAGGGAATGCTATTTTACTATTGGTTGTTTTGTCTGTTTTTTGTTTTCCTCAATTCTGACTACATTGTTTTAATAGACGAGGTTTCCAAAGACAATGAAGAAATGTGGGGATCAGGAAGGAAGAGTTTCATTATAGCTTCGTTACGGATTAAATAGAAAATGTTCTCAGGGCGCCTGGATGGCTCACTGAGTTAAGCATCTGACTCTTGCTTTCAGCTCAGGTCATGATCTCATGATTCGTGGGTTTGAGCCCTGAGTTGGGCTCTGTACTTGCAATGCGGGGCTTGCTTGGGATTCTCTGTCTCCCTCTCTCTCTGCCCCTTGCCTGCTCACTGTCTGTCTTTCAAAATAAGTAAATTTAAAAAAAAGAGAATGTTCTCAATTTCAAATAAGTCTCTAATGAACTTTTGGCACACTATCCATCGAAAAGCTGGGAACTACCCAAATTATGTTTTGGTATAGCTGTAGACAGGATATCAGTGTCCACAATGAAAATGTTTATTAGTGCAGAATAAAAAAATATATATAATACACTCTTTAAAACGGGGATTAAAAAAAAACCACCCCTGCAAGCCCATTAGGAGGATTATAGCGCCTTTAAAGAGTCTGTGTATACAACCCACACGTTAAGCCATTTGTCATTGACCAACAAAATGACAGCTTTTTCGCTAGTGGGAAGAAAAAACTCACACTAGAAAAATACGTTCTACAAGCAACTTTCTTAAGGTAATGAATGGCAAGGGTATATATCACTGCAAGAAGGAAGAGAAGCACATTAAAAAGTCCCTTCTCAGCCCTTAAGGCCTTTGGAGAAATTATTGCCTTTTAATTTGCCTGTGGATATATTTTGGTAGACATAGGTCTACTCTTTGGCATCTTCCGTTGTTGTTGTTGTTTTTTTTAATGTTTATTTATTTATATTGAGGGGGAGAGGCAGAAAGAGAGGGAGATGGAGAATCCAAAGCTTGATTCCAAGCTTGGAGATCCCAAACTTGATGCGGGGCTTGAACCCACTAACTGTGAGACCAGGACCTGAGCCGAAGTCAAGAGTCAGCCCACGTCAAGAGTCAGAGGCTCAACCCACTGAGACACCCAGGTGCCCCTACTCTTTGGCATTTTAAGGCAGTGTTTTGTTTCCATTTTCTCCCTGATTTCCCCATAACCATTTGATTCTAATTGTTTTACTGTTTATTTATTTTTGAGAGAGAGAGAGAAAGAGAGCGAGCGAGCAAGCAGGGGAGAGTCAGAGGGAGGGAGACAGAATCCGAAGGAGGCTCCAAGCTGTCACTACAGAATTGGACGTGGGGCTTGAACACGCGAACCATGAGATCATGACCTGAGCCAAAGTCAGACCCTTAATGGACTGAGCCATTCAGGCACCCCATAAACATTTGATTCTAAATACCACAGTGCCTTCCTTAACCGGAAATTGGCTTCTTTCTGTAGTTGGCAGATGTTGCTAGAACTATGTGAAAGTGTCACTTGGACGTCTCTGGCCCAGTCAACCTTCTATTTTGCTCTTCCAATTTGTAATTTTCCTTTCTCTTTTTTCCATTCTCTTTCAGGGACCCCACATTTGCCAGGTCTCCATTTGTTAGCACCTCATTAGAAGAGGATGGGCAACTGAGAGGGAGTGAGGGAGGGAGCGTATGAACTCAGATCTGTTAACTTTTGGAAAAATACTTCAGAGAGGACATCTGAAGAAAGAAAGCCTTAAAGCTGTTTTGTTTCTGAAAAGTGGAATCTCACACAAAGTAACTGTCTTTGAAGGCTAATATCTCTAGCCAGTCTTAAAACTGAATTTTGGGAGCCACAGGCTGAGGAGAATGAACTTTGCATTTAAAGCACCAGGATTTGGGGGTTCCTGGGGGGCTCAGTCGGTTAAGCATCTTGATTTTATGATCTTCTGGTTTGTGAGTTCAAGCCGGTTTGGGAGTCTGAGCCCCTGTACTTGCGGAGCCTGCTTGGGATTCTCTCTCTCTCTTTGCCCCCCCATCCTTCTCTCTCATTCTCTCTCTCTCTCTGTCCCTCCCTCCCTCCCTCAAAATGAATAAATAAACTTTAAAAAAAAAGGGCTCATTTTCCTTTAAAAAAATAGAGCACAAGGATTTGAAAAGCTCCGTGCAATTATGCAAGTCAATATTTTAAGTAATGCAACCGTCTGGGAGGGAGAAATTTCCTTCTTTCCCCCTAGGCTGCTTCCAGCTGGTTTAAGAATTAAATTCCTATGAGACAGGGGAGCAGGAGGGGAAACAAACAAAGAAAACAGTTTTATTACGGGGGCACAAAGGTTCAATAATGAAATTGACACCCTCAAGAAATGCCCAAGGTAGGCAGTTTTGATACATTTTAGACAAAGACAATTTCATGAGGAATTGACAAGATAAAGAAAATAGGTGTTTGGGAGCTTTCCCGAGTAAGGAATTCTAAGCAGAATTCAGGCTGACGTAATAGACTAGGGGGAAAAAAATAAGGTTTGTTTCTCCAGCTTTCTCGGCTTTAAAGTTCCTATCTCTGGTGATAAGGCTGTCTTTTTACTTCTTAGCCCAGGGAAGGTAGTTTTCACATGGGAGATTTGTTTCCTGTTTTCGGCGGGGACAGAGGAGGGTCTGAATATCCTTTCACGTTGTTATCCGGGTGGCTTCCATTCAAAATAATCACTATGCCATTGCAGTACATTTCGGGGCAGCCTCCCAAGGGCTCCCACACGATCTATACCAGAATCCCTTGCTTTCCCATTGCAACGAATAAGGAGAGGGTTAAAAAAATTTTTTTTTTTTAATTGTACAGCTTGTGCAATGCAAGTTCAAAAACTAGTTTAGGGACTGGTTTATGTGAACCTGAGTTAGCCGCTTGGTAATCAACACGGTTTTCATTCTACTGAATCCGGTGGGGCTTCAGGGGGAAGAGTTTGACCTCGTTCCTCTTTCAGATTTAAATAATAAAAACGATGCTAAAAAAACTATGTCCTCTTGAATATCGTGTCAGGTCAATGCCTAGGCCCTTCCTCTCCTTCCCTCGGGTTCCTGGCAGGAAACATGTGGACAGGGAGCGGATAAACAGGTTCCAGTTCCCAGCAGCAGCACGTTAGAAAAATTTTCCATCGGTTGATGTGCCCGCGCCTTCTCACCAAAGTGTGGTTTGAAACAGGGCTTCTCTTATCTGCTTTGAAAAGCCCTTTTTCTCGGGCGCTTGCATTCTCGGAACGAGTGTTGAGAACGCCAAGCTGGATCGCGCTTCACGCTGTCTCGTGAGGCCGCCGGCTCCTCCAGCCCGGGGGCCCTTTAAGACAAAATCGCAGAATTGAGTTGCTGAAAGTCGAGGAGGGGTGGGGGCGGGGTGGGAAACCAGGGGTGCAGAGGGCAGCGCACTACAACTCCCACAAGCCCTCGCGCGGCGGCCAGCCTCCCTCCCTCAACCCCCCCGCCGCTGAGCCCTGCGCTTGCGCGGAAGACCCTGCGCTGAGAGGAGGGGCGGGGACCCGACAGCGCGCCTGGAGGGGGAGCGGAGAAAAGAGACCATAGACTTTCACCTGGGCCTAGAACGTCTCTTAAAGTAGCGTGGGGACAGGCAGGCGGGCGGGCGGGGACCACCTTCAGAGCTGGCCGCCGGCGGTATCATGGCGACCCGGAACCCCCCTCCCCAAGGTGAGCGCCCGGGACGCGAAGTAGTATCGAAGACGCGGCTCACAGCTCTCGACCTTGCTCCCGGGGGCGCCTCTTCCGTCCCCTGCCCCAGGGCTCTGGGGGCTCTGGTCTTTGGTGGCACCCCTTTTGAACTAGACTCCCTCCCCTCCCCGCGGAAGGGGATCCCCGTCCCTAACACAGCCCCACCTCCTGCCTCACCTTCACCTCTGACCCTTCGTTTCCATCTTCAAACGTGGTTTTGGCCTTGACTGAAGTGATTTCATCCCGCCAGGCCCCTAACGGGTTCTGTCAGGGGAGGACGCTCCCCCGCCCCGCCCCCGTTTCTCCCACCGATGAAACGGGATGTAGCTCTGGCCCTGACCCTATTGAGATTTGGGGGTGACCCTTCTTGGTGTGAAACTCTGACCTGACCTTATTGCCATTTGTGGGGGGCGGGGTAGTGGGCGACCCCTCACTTCTGTGTAACTCCGACGTGGCTCCAATTCCGGCCCCTAGGCCGGTCCTCGGGCCTTTGGAAAGGAGATGCTGGGCCCTTTTGGACAGGGATTGGCTGCAACAAACTAAGGTTATCTTCTGGGCATTTTTAGCCTTCGGCCAACGCTGCCAGTGAGTTCTAACAGCTAAAAGCCATACGGGACGTTTCTGACTTTAGGTCGCCTCTAAATTCCTTTCTTTCCATTTTGTGTTTTGAAGAGTACGAAAGCGATGACGAGTCTTACGAAGTGTTGGATCTAACTGAGTATGCAAGAAGACACCATTGGTGGAATCGAGTGTTTGGCCACCGTTCCGGACCTATGGTTGAAAAATACTCAGTAGCCACCCAGATTGTAATGGGTGGAGTGACTGGCTGGTGAGAACAACATCTTCTTCATTAAATTTCACGGGCAGCCTCCCTGCCGCCCTTTTGTAAATAGGCCAGTTACTGTGCACATTCAATGGCTTTACAGTGCTAATCCCCGAAGATCCCTACCTTGAGGCTTTTCTCTGTGATATGATTGGTATGATGGACACGCAGGAGACTCAGTGTTTGGTTTTGGTGATCCGCTTCCCCAGGCCCGCCACTCGCGCCACTATCCCCTCCTATCCCGTCCTTTGATTCTTTCTGTATTTTCCACCTCCTGAAATTTAGCATATGTAGTGCATCCTATTCGATGATAGTGGCTAAAAAGGAAGAAACGTGTAAGGGTTAATTACATGTAAATAACTTTTACTTGGCCTGCATCTGATTCGATGGTAGTGGCTAAAGAGGAAGAAACGTATAAGGGTTCGTTACATGTAAATAACTTTCACTTGGTCGATGCTAACAACTGGAAAAACCTTGGAGGGGGCCCGCAGTGGGACCGGTGTCCAGGATTGTCAGCCCTGTAGAGAGCCGTGGAGAATCCTCCTCGGTGAAAATGATTGATTATGATACAGATGGTCCAGTGGATGTTCAGTGGGCGAATTTGGATTATTATAATACTTTCAAGAAGAATAGGAGTTAAAGCGGGTCTTCGTTGGGATTACAGGACTGATTGCGTACTTGGTAATAATATTGTGGACTGCATTTAGGAGGAGCAGTTAATAAGCATTAACCTACCTACCCAGTTAATGGTTTAGACCGCGTGATTACGTAATTGCTACTGTACATCACGTTGTCCCTTCCGGAACAAAAGATTAGTGAGATAACAAGGACCAAACAGGTATGACCCTTTATTTTGAAAATGTTCATGACTGCGGAGAATGTGTGTCGTCTGTGGGGTGTGCTTAGCTTGTGAGTAATCATTTTTTTTCTTAGATTCTAAGTTAAGGTTGTCTTACATTAAAGATGTCCATATTTAAACTCGATAAGTATGACATGTTTTGGTTTGCGATGTCCATGTACCTTGGAATGACGGTTCACTCCTTTACGCCTTTTTGCAAATGCCGTTTCGTGGTAGAAGCCTGCATGGTGGAGATCCTGGGGTGCAGAGCTGCGGCATTTATTCATGTATACTTATTAATGCTGCTAATGAAAAAGCCCTGCAATTAGAAGGAGATGCCTGGTCAGGGCCCTGATGATTCAGTTATTTCGCCGCAGTTGGTTTGTACCTTGACTCCCTATAATAGACACTCTGGTCCTCTGCTCCGCTCAGCTCACTGCTTGGTGCCATGGGTGATGTGAGTATGGGCCTCAAAGCCCCATCTTAAAAGAGACTAAAAAATAATGGAGCGGTAGAATTATCACATCATTGTGTGCTCTCGCCTCGTTGGCAGAAGTTTGCTCGGATGTCCTAGAGACAGAGCGGGGGCACTTAGTAGCTGTATTTTAGAGGCTCGTGCCATCTAGCAAAGGCTAGACGTGCTTGTGGGGACACAGTCCGTCCCTGGCCCGCAGGTGTGATTTGGCTGCTTCTTGCCCCCTCCGCTCCTTTATCGGAGCCTTTGTTGCTGACTCCCCTACTGAGGGCCACGGTCTTCATAATAATACCTGTGTTTGGGTTATAACCAGCGTCGGCCCAGGGGCTGTTTGGTAGGACTCTAAGGCTGTGCAGGTGGTTTGTGGCAATGACCCTGGATTCGGCGTCGTAAAGTGTTGCAATTTTCTTAAGGTATGAAACTGTTGTACCGTTGCGGCAGGCGTTAAGGAGGAGTGGTTACTAAGCATTAGTCTAAGCAGTTAACATGTCAGACCACTTCAGGACGCGGCATGGGAGGCTAAGATTATATGCGAGTGTAGGTAGTTAGAGGTTTTCGATGATAAAGAAGTGTCCGGGTGGGTGTTTGCTGGGAGAGATGGGAGGCTTGAAGACTCGCCACAGGGCCCTTAGTGCGGTCTGGAAGCAAGGCAGTGATGTCCTTGAGAGCGGGAAGACAGGCAAATGGTGTTCCGGAGACAGAGCACATAGAATTGGCAATGAGCTGGCCCCCGAAGGTGAGGAAGAAGGCAGAGTCCGAGGTGACCAGGAGCGGGACAGCCTAGGGAATGGCGCTGTCGCTTACACATGGGGGACCTTAGCCACAGTGGATTTGGTTGGAAAGAGGATTTTTGCCCTGGGACGTTCGAATATGTGGTAAGCCCCTGTGAGTGTACAATGTCCATTTGTGAAGGTATATTCGTTTCCTAGGGCTACTGTAGCAAAGTACCACAACTAGGTGGCTTAGAAATCCGAGAAACGTATTCTCTCACAGGTCTGGAGGCTACAAGTGTGAAAGGTGTCAGCCGAGTCGGTTCCTTCTGGGAGGCTCACAGGGAAAATCTGCCCCCGGCTTCTCTCCTAGCTTCTGCTGGTTGCCATCCGTCCCTGGTGTTCCTGGGCTTGCAGACACAGCACTCCAATCTCTGGCTGCGTCATCACGTGGCTCTCTCCCCTCTCGGTGTCTCTGTGACATGTCGGATGAAGTCATACTGGATCTCGGGCCCACCATGTTGCCGTGTGGCACCGGCCGCACTGATGACATCGTTAGCAACCCTTAATCTAAATGAGGTCACATTCAGAGATGCTGGGAAGGATGTGAATGTAGGCGTGGGGGGAGAGGATACTCTTCAATCCAGTTCAGAAGGCTAGAGTTAGAAATCTGGGCTTCGTTTACAGCAGTATGGATCTGGAATACTGAAGGCGGTATGAGCTTCCCAAAGGAGAGGATTAATCGGAAAAGAAGTATGGACAGACATTCTTACAGGATAGATGGGACAAAATAGGTTTACTCTAGAGATAGATAGACATCCATATAAATGCCAGTAAAGAAGCCATGAGAGCGGCGCCTGGGTGGCTCAGTCGGTTACGCGTCCAACTTCGGCTCAGGTCACGATCTCCTGGTTCGTGGGTTCAAGCCCCGCATCGGGCTCTGTGCTGATAGCTAGCTCAGAGCCTGGAGCCTGCTTCCGATTCTGTGCCTTCCTCGCTCTCTGCCCCTCCCCTTCTTGCGCTCTGCCTCTGTCTCTCTAAAAAAATACATAAGCATTAAAAAAAAAAAAAAACCCCAAGAAGCCATGAGAAATGTGGGCCTAAGTGTAGTCCTGAAGCTGGAACTTCAGCTGGACCTGAAAGGGTGGAAAAGCTTTGGATGAGCAGAGCTAGGGAGAAACCCCTAGAAGCAGGGAGATTAATAGTTTGAGCAATGGCAATAACCTGTTTGGAAACTAATGGGATTGGAGCAAGAAGTGTTGGGTAGAGTGGGGGTTGGCCAGGTGTATGGGACATCCTGACTGCATTAAAACAAAAAAATCTCTCTTAAGGGGAATTTCAAATTCTACAAATATAGGAGGAAGAGCACAGCGAGACCCCGAGTACTCAACATTGTTTTAGTAGCCAGTCTTTTTTCCTAGAAATTACTCTCTTCTCTCCATCCCTGATTTTGAAGCATATTGCAGTTTAGATCGTGCACTTTTTTTCTTTTTAAGTAAGCTCGAGGCCCAAGGTGGGGCTCAAACTCACGACCCTAAAACCGGTGGTCACGTGCTCTACCGAATGCACCAGCCAGGCGTGCTGAATTCTGCACTTTTTTTTTTAGTTTATTTTTGAGACAGAGAGAGGCAGAGCACGAGTGGGGAGGGGCAGAGAGAGAGAGGGAGACACAGAATCTGAACCAGGCTCCAGGCTCTGAGCTAGCTGTCAGCACAGAGCCCAGCGCGGGGCTTGAACCCACAAATCACGAGATCATGACCTGAGCCGAAGTCGGACGCGTAACCGACTGAGCCACCCAGGCGCCCCTGGATTATGCACTTTTGACTTGGCCTATATAACGAGGGAAACACAGAGTGTTTCTGAGCAGCTAAGGGATATGATCAAAAGAAACGAGAAGATGTTAGGATTTTATTAGGTGGAAAAAAAGATTTTATTAGGAAAGCAATGAAAAGGAGAAGAGGGAGAGAGTTTAGGACATCACGGGCTGTTCTCATCTTTTGTCATTTCTTTCATTAAAGGTGTGCGGGATTTTTGTTCCAGAAGGTTGGAAAGCTTGCAGCAACCGCAGTAGGTGGTGGCTTTCTTCTACTCCAGGTATGTCCACGCCTTGGATTTTTGCCTCCGCGTACATATGTAGCCCTTGGGAACTGCACAGGCCAAGTTTAGCCATTTCATTCTCGTCCATTTTCATAGATGGTCGAGCAGGTTTTCTTTTAGGTATCAGCTTATGGGAAAACAAAAATGGGTTTTGAAAGCTGACATCTGTCATTCTGTAACCATAGTTGGATCCCAGCTAAAAAGATCCCCGTTAAAAAAGACAACTATCCAGGTTTGAGGTGCCTCATTTTTTTTTTATTACTTACCCAAATTTCCCTTGAAGCAAAATAAACATTTCATCTATAATACAACCTCATCTTGACCATTTTAAGCATATATTTAAAGTTGAGACAGTATGTAAAATTCAGAAGGTCTCTTTCTTTTCCCCATTTCCTAGCCATGCAATTTTCCTTCCCAGAGGAAATTGCTGTTAGCAATTGCTAACTTGTTTTTTTAAAACTAGGGGACCATAATAATCTAGAAAGTGGAAAATTGGGTTTAAAAAAGCATTCGTAATCCCATTTCTGAAGCAGCGGGGATTTGAAATTTTAGTTTTTGTTCATGCTCCTCCAAGCATAAGGTTTTAAAACGCTTTGCAGTTAGAGGATGTTTATCGGGATATTGTCTGGCATTCATGTCTGTTTGGCATATATTTTTCCAAAAATATCATTCCCTGAAGATCAAATATAGTAAATCCCAAAACTGAAAATCTCTGGGAATGAATGTTAGCAGTAATCTTAAAGATACAGAGGACTATCAGCTGTACCAGATTTTTAAAATGATAGATGTTCATAGCAGCCAACATCTGACTTGAGCACAAAAGCCATTGATCATGTAATAACCAGTGTCATTGCCTGAAGTGCAAAGGGACTGCATTTGTATGTGTTAGGCATAGATTTTGAGTTGTTTACTAAACAGCTATCTGTGTGTGTGTGTGATTTTTTTCTAAACAGCTTTTAAAAATATGTATTTTCTATCAGTGGCATTATTAGGAGTAATTGCCTATTGTGGTGGGAGGTAAAGAGGAATATGGTTCATATCTAAACTTAGGCCTTTGGATGGATATGCCAGCATGTGTACAGAAGACAGTTATACTTAAGCTGACTTTGACTTGTTTGTATAGAATCAAGAACATATTTCATTCGACAGCTCTTTTGAAAACTCAGTTGTCATTTCTGTGGAAGGGAAAAGGGCACTGAGCTGAAGCAGAGTTTTCCCTGAAATGTTCACAGAATAAAGAGAATTAATACATTTCAGTCCACTCGGTCACTTTTTCCAAAGTCGGTTCCAGTCCACTCGATAGACACCCTTCAGGTCCACGTGTTGCCATTGTTGCCTCCTGCTTCTCCGTGCCTCATCTACACAGTCTTTGAGGTCACTAAGCAGATGACTGTGGGACCGGTCTGCCTCGAACCAGCTTTTCCAACAAATATGACTCCCCTGGAAAACTCTGTAGAAAGAAACTGAAAGAGGAAATCAGAAGAACACAGGACTTTTAGGCTGATTGCCCGTTGTTCTTAAGGCCTGCTTTCGGTATTTTTGTTACCTTTACTTATACGTAGGGGCGCCTGAGTGGCTCAACCGGTTGAGCGGCCGACTTTGGCTCGGGTCATGATCTTACGGTTCGTGAGTTCGAGCCCCGCATCGGGCTGGCTACTTGTCAGCACGGAGCCTGCTTTAGAGCCTCTGTTTCCCCCTCCCCCCACCACTTGCGTGCGCACGCGTGCTCTCTCTTGCTCTCTCTCTCTCTCAAAAAGAAAGAAACCTTAAAAAAAGAGAGAGACAAAAAGATATTTATTGACTTAGAACTTAAAACTCTTCTAGTAACTTGGTGTTAAGTGTCTTCCAGTTATTTATCACAGTGCCATCTTAAAACAGACAGTGGCATGCAAATCTTTTCAACTGAATTTTTATTTTTTGGCAGTTGTTTATGTGCCCCTAATTCAAAGGGTCAGATACACGTACAAGACTCGTAGGTTAGAGTAACTCCCTACCTCCCTCACCACCCACCCTCCCCATTTCTCCCTCCCTTGACGCAACCACTTGAACCCTTAGCTGATTCTTAAGGTAGTCATTTCCTTCTTCCTAGACAAGTTAATTGAGTATCTCTTGATCTCTCGGTTTGAGGTACTGACTAGTGGCTTCCTGTTATGGAATATGAGAATTTAACTCTCATTTATTGAACTTTCCTTGCCCACCATTCCCCTCCCCGCAGTCTCACACGCTTGCCTGCTTTATGTTCCTCTGTGCCCCCCGCCAACCCCTGCATCATCTGAGCATTGTTATTTCATAATCGTGTTAGATCATTACTTGGAGTTCACTGAACTCGAATCTGTAAATGTATGTGTTTAACCGTGTTTGGGAAGGTTTTGACCTACCTTTCTTTCTTTCTCTTTTTTAGAAAATGTTTATTTACTTTTGAGAGGGGAGAAAAGAGGGAGTATGAGTGGGGAGGGGCAGAGAGATAGGGAGAGATTATGACTCTGATTATGTGCATATTAGGCTTTTTGATAATGTCCTAGGTTTTGTTTATTTATTTCTTCAGTCTTTTTTTTTCAAATCATAGAATTTCTAGTGATCTGGCTTCACGTCCACTGACTCTTTGTCCTGGCATCTACTTTCTACCATCCAGCCTCTCTAATAAATGTAGTTCAGATACTGTGTTTTCCAATTCTAGAATTTTCATTTGGTTCTTTTTAGATTTTCTATATCTCTGGTGAGATTCCTTATCTTTTCATTGATTACAAGCACGGTTTCCTTTACCTCGTCAAGCATAGTTCTAATAGCTGGTTTAAAGTCCTGATAATTCCAGTATCTTTTTCTTCTTCAGGTTGGCATGTGTCAATTTTCTTTGGAGACTAGCCCACATTTTCTTGTTTTATCCCATGTCAAGAAAGCTTGGAGTTGATCCTGGGGATTGGGAATGTCCTGCTGTGGAAACTCTGGGTTCTCTGAAGAGTATTGATAGTTTGCTTTTAGCGGGCAGTTGAGTTGGTTAGACTCAAATGGCAGACTGTCTCACCTGAGGTCGGTAGCAGCTCAGATCTCAGGTCCATACTGGCAGCCTTGGCCAGATTGCATGGCTCTGCCTTATGGATGTGCAGTTCAGGACTTGGGTGGAGTTTACCCATTGAATGTGGCCCACCCCCCATCTAGCTCTCTCGTTTCTGGCAATTGTTGTCGTCGTTGACTCTGGCGTCTGGTCCTTTGGGCCAGAAAGGTGGCATGTTTTCGCTTAGTTTTCACCACCCTGCTTGTGCATCCTGCCCTCGGAGTAAAACCAAAAAAATGGTCAACTCCCCTTACGTTGTCTTTCCTGCAAGTTTCAACTCCCTTTGAAATCCGCTTGCTTTTGTTACTTCTGGCGCCCTCGTATTTTCACCAGGGTTTAGAGTTGCTGTGTACGGGAGGTTCCCAGAGGCTCACCGTCACCTCCTCGCCTGTGACCCAAGTTGCCGTGTCAGGTACCGCCAGGAGAAGCTTGCACTTGCCATTTGATTTGATCACCCCTCTTTGGCTTAGGCTGGAGGTTGAAGTGATTATAGGTGAATAAATCCAGGAAGACATGTGGATAAATAAATTCTTCCAGGGAGTCATTCACAGTGAAAATGGAACTTAAGATGCCCATTCAGCCTCATATATATATATATAAAATTATATATAAAGTTATATATATATAATCAGACACTTATTATATGAAGTATTTTATTTGTGGTTCGAAGTCAAGTGATGCCTTACAAGATCACAAAGAAAGCATAAGCTTGATAGAAGTGATTTATAACGGTGTACATGGCTTACTTGTTTGCTGCTCTTGTGATTCTTTCTATTTGATTTTATTATTTGGAGAGACTAATTTATGGTAGTGGCTTACACACTGCGCTATTGTATGTAGTTTCCCCATAGTACTATATTAGGGTTTTCTTATAGTTAATGTGCATTTAGCTGTGGTTGTATTCAAAGGAATTATGGCACGAAACTTGCATAGAGCATATTTCTTTTGTATTCCACTTTCAAAAGCGATTACCAGAAAGTGTTCTTAGTTTCAGTAGTAGAGTCAGAGTTGGTAAAGAGCCTTTATCAAGCTACTTTAGATTTTAGTGACCTAATAGCTGATTGGCTTCTGATCCCTTATGGTTAAACATCTATTTAATTAAAAGATACTTTTTTCTTAGCTGTATAATTTAGGCAGTTTCTGTGTCTTCTTAGCTAATTCTCAAACTCTAAAAGTTACGACAGAATTGTAGTACGGTTCTAATACAGTTTTTGGAATCTTCTCCCATCATGTAATATACGTTTTCTTAATATAGTGTTCGTCGTATCTAAATAATTAATTACACTTAATATCTTCTTTCTCTTATGGACCCAGAGCTCTCTGAGGGTGGGGATTTAGGTCTCCCTTGTTCTTGACTATAGTTACAGTGCTTGGCACGGAATAGGAACTTATCAAATGAGTAAATTGTGATATCTTACCTATAAGCCTCATAGACTTCTTGAAATCTAAATGTCCGTATATTCCTGGGCAATAGAGTTGTCAATAGCCTAGTTGGTTTAGAATGAACCATTTTTATTCTATTTTTGCAGGTTGCCAGTCACAGTGGCTATGTGCAGATTGACTGGAAGAGAGTTGAAAAAGATGTAAACAAAGCGAAAAGACAGATTAAGAAACGAGCAAATAAGGCAGCACCTGAAATCAACAATATAATTGAAGAAGTAAGATAATGTACATTTTTGACTCCTTTTTTTTTCCTTTATGAGTTTTGCTTAGCAGAAAATGTGATTAGTGATTATCTTTTTAAAAAGTTGATGTTTTTGGTCATGTCTAGAGTGTTAAGTAAAAACTGTTGGGATCAAGCCACCATTTCAGTCAGTCGTCATCGGGGCGCCTGGATGGTTCCGTTGCAAGAGCATGTGACTCTTGATCCCCAGGGTCATGAGTTCGAGCTCCATGTTGGATGTAGAGATGACTTAAAAAAAAAAATAACATAGCTTTTCCTGCCCCTCTCCCACCTACTTTGATCTGCGTGTAAAAGCTGATAACATCACCCTTCCAGAAGTTTTCTTCTGGTTTTACACAAATGTGTACATGTGTAGACAGGGTGTGGTAAAAGGAAAACTACCTGTTTTTTTTCATGAGGTGGAATATTTTGAAAAGGTGTATATTTTATTAATAGTTTTATTAATGTTATTATGTGTGTTTTGTCTTATACGCTGGTTAGAATTGAATTGAATACTCCTTGCCTTCATTTCTGTTCTGTTCTGTTAGTACCCCCACTTTTTTATGTTGAAAAATTTCAGACCAATTGAAAAGTTGAAGGACTTTTCAGATCCCCTTTGCTGAAGGACAGATACCCTCCACCGCTTTACCAAATCGCTTTACAACATTTGCTTTCCCTCTGTGAGTGTGTATGTGTGATTTACACTTTTTTTTTTTTGCATAATCGTTTACTACATCATTACTCTTCACTCTTAAGTATTCAGCATATATCTTCTAACAGGTAGATATTCTCTTATACAACTACAATTGCCCTATTTAACAGGATGCAGTATTTCCTAATGTACAGTCCATGTTAAAATTTTTCCACAAAATATCCGTTATACATTTTCCCCCGAGTCAGGAATTCTATATTGCATTTGGTTGTCATGTATGGGAAGTGTCCTCTGGTCTCCAACAGTCCCCTCATCTGTGGGGCTTCTTCCCCCCCCCCCATCTTTTCTGACACTGACATTTTTGAAGCATCTAGGCAGAATACGCCACAGTCTGGCTTTGTCTGATTGCTTTTGCATGGTTTTACTTGGCTTAAACATTTTATCAGGCTGATGTGTTTTTGATCCTTGTACCTTGCTTCTTGCTGGCCAAGTGGACTGTTCATAAAAATCATTGTGCCTGCTGTGGGCATTTATTAAATCTGTGCTAATACCTCGCATTCATTTGTGTCTGCCCCATAGCTTCACGTCCCCTGTGAGATTTTTGCTGCCGATATACCTATTATCTCGGTAGCCAAGAAGCTTAACCGCGTCTGGCTGGGACTCTACGCTCCTGCAGATTGTACTGGGCAATCCTGGCATCTTGTGCGGTGCTTGGCACCTGTAGCATTAGGTGTAGAAGCACTTTTGCCAAACGGTTATTGGATTGGGGAAAACAGCTGTGAAAACGTTACTTGGCACCAGATTCAGTGATTAAGAGTGGTTTGTGTGTGTGTGGTTTTTTTTTTTTTTTTAATTTGCATCGTTTTTTTCTTTTTCTTATTGTGGCAAAATATACAGAACATAAAATTGGCCATTTTAACTATATGTATTTATATTTAACTATATATATATCTATATATAAGTATGGGGTTTTTTGGTTTTTTTGGTTTTTTTACGTAGGCTCCGCGCCCAGCATGGAGACCAAAGCGGGGCTTGAACTCACGACCTGGAGATCAAGACCTGAGCTGAGATCAAGAGTCAGATGCTTAACTGACAGAGCCACCCAGGCGCCCCCATTTTAACTATTTCAGAATGCACAATCTAGGAGTATTAAGTGCATTCCCACTACTGTGCAAACATTACCACCAGCCACGTGTAGAACTTTTTCATCATCGCAAACAGAAACTCTAACCACTGAGCAGTAATTCCCACAAGTAACCCCTCTCCCCAGCCCTTGGCAGCCTCTGGCCTACTCTCGGTCGTGATGCATTTCGCTATTCACGTTTGGTGGAATTATACAGCGTTTTGCCTTTTCTGTCTGTGTCCCTTAGCGTAGCATTTTCAAGGTTTCGTCCATGTTGTGGCACAATTAAGAGTCTTCTTTTGCTGAAACTTCTGTTTCAGGCAACAGAATTTATCAAACAGAACATTGTGATATCCAGTGGCTTCGTGGGAGGCTTTCTGCTCGGCCTGGCATCTTAAGGAGATGAATGTTCGGTCACAGTGGAGTCACCTTTACGAAGAGAACGGTGGCAACAAGGTGGCTTGTCAACATTACCCCCCATCAGATTCTCCAGGGCAGCAAGAAACAGCTAGGTGGGCCCCACCAGACTCATGACTTAGTGCTTTGCCGTTGAAGTTTTGGCAAACTAGTATCCGCTGTGAAAACAGCCTGTGTGGTTATGTGTACAGTAGTATTCCTGAGCAAAACATGGCTTTCATTTATTTTTTTAATATTTGCCTTTGTTTTTAAATTAGGCTATAAAGTACCCCCCTCGGATGTAGATATACAGAGAAAAAACTAACGTGCTGGATCTATCTCCCCGTGAAATTTTATCCTTATTTTATTGAAATAAGATGTTCTTCATTTTGCTTTGTAGTACAGTGCCGGTAATTAAAACTTTGTCTTACTGCCTCCACGTTAAGTTTGGCTGTTTTCTTTTTGAAGATATATTTGCCGTAAACTGAAAAACTGTAGTGCCCTTTTGTGGAAGGATCTAGAAGTAATAGAATTATTAAAGATAGTGAACAGGTTCAATACCAATTTTTAGGTGGTGGTTTTCTGCGATTCTTACTTTGCTTCTATAATAACTATAATAAACTGTTTCAAGGAAGACTCTTCTAAGGAAATACTCATGTCTGCAGCTCTCGCCCTCTCTCTCTCTTTTTTTTTTTTTTTTTTTTTTTTGATGTCTGTAGTTGTAAAAATTTCTTGGATGTCAGCTTTTTAAATTAATTTATCCTGGCGGCCCAGGCAGAGCTAATTATTCTGAGGGAAACTGTAGTTGGGTCACTGATTCATTTTATTAACCTTGAGTGAACCTCCTTTCTCATTTCTAAAAATCCTAATTATTATTTTGGCCCCTTCTTCCCAAAGAGGTAAAAAAATCCCTTTAAAATACTTCGTACTGTGGTATGAATTTTCTGTTTGAAGAACGTTGATTTTCTATGTCATTATGCAGTTGTCACTTAAAGAGAATTTTCTCTCCGATCTAATCTGAGAGGTAAGCGCTAGGACTTTCAGGTTTTGGTAGCCTCGTGTTGAGCATGAGGCCAGTGGACTTGTTTCTCTGGGCCAGATCACACTCCCTGAGAGGCTCCTTTGCCCAGAGAAGCTTTCTGTATTATTTGTCTCGTTCATGGAACTCTACGCTGGAGTTGGAAAAACAGCAGAACGACATGTATTGGGGTCTTCAGGTTGGGAAGATTTTTAGAGGTGTTTAGACCATCTCCTTTTGATAGGAAGTCCCCCTAGTATATTTTGTGTGTGGTAAACATGAGGCGTTCCATACTTTCAAGGTTGGTTACCATCTGCGTGTGCGTTCCATGATCACAAGACTCCTTAGAATTGAACGTGGGACTCATCTTCACTTTCTTCCTTTACTCTCATTAGTGCCCCCGATACGGTGCTCAGTAAAACTCAGATTTTCTCGCTCTCTTTTTTTTAAGTTTATTTATTTTGAGAGAGAGAGAGAGTGTGCGCATACACGCACAGGTAGGAGAGAGTCCGAGAGAGGGGGAGGGAAGAATCCCAAGCAGGCTCCATGCTGTCAGCGCAGAGCCCGCAGCCCGGCTCAGTTTCACCAACCGTGAGATCATGACCTGAGCGGAGACCAAGAGTCCAACGCTTGTTCCTGAGTTCGAGCCCCGCGTCGGGCTGTGTGCTGAGAGCTCAGAGCCTGGAGCCGGCTTTAGATTCTGTGTCTCCCCCTCCCTCTGCCCCTCCCCCGCTTGTGCTCTGTCTCTCTCTCAAGATAAACATTAAAAAAAATTAAAGGAAAAAAAGAAGCCTGACGCTTAACCGACTGCGACCCCCAGGCGCCCCCAGCCTTTCTTAATATGAAGTGAGTTTGCTTATAAATACTTGGTTTATCCTTGAGCTTTTCTCGATTTTGGCCTTGCCAAGCCTTCCACTGCTGTGGAATTAAAGGGAGAAATATGCTACAACAGGTAGAATGTCGGCTACACTTCCGTGTGCCGCATCTGTGTGATGTTTGCCTCTGCTACAGCAAGGCAGCCTACTGTGGGGAGCTCAGAGAGCTCGCTCAGGTTGTTCGTTTGGGAAATAACTTGTAGTGTCTGCCCTGTGCTTGCCACGCTAGGATGGTGGGGGTGCAGAGTTCTCTGCCCTCAATTAGAGATGAAGATATTCCTCTCCGGAAATCCTGTAAGAATCCAGGAGAACGTGGCATATGATTAGCGGCAGATAAGGATCGGGATCCCCACTTAGGGATACGTAGGGATAACCGCTAGCGATGGTTAGGGATAACTACGTTCAGAGTCCAGACGTGAATGGAAACTGAAAAAGATGACACTTCATTTTCACCTATACCTTTCCACGCATCCGTTGGTTTGATTAAAACTATTTACAGACAAAGGCGAAATAATATCCGTGCCCTCCATACGGTCTTTTCGATGTTAGGGCCCCTGATTCTGCCTCATATGCACCGTCTCCCCATGAGGTAGTAGGCCACTTGAGGCAGTCCTCTGTGCTCGTGTCTAGCTTGCTGACGCGCACCGTGGCACACTTTGCTCAAGGTAGGTGTTCAGCCAGTGTTGGCAGTGGGCGAATGAGTATGTGGGCAGCACATTGCTGTGTCAGAGTTCGTGTCAGATGGGGATATATATATTTTTTTAATGTTTGAGGGCATAAAGACTCTTTGCAAGATTGATTTGAACTTGAGTGTATGGAATATAGGTATTTTGTGGCCTAGGCTTTGGGAGATATTTAAGGATGTAGCGAATGGTTTTTATTTTTTGTTCTTCTGGGGCTCCCCAACCCCTCATTAAAAAAAGACTATTTTTAAGGTGTTTTCTTATTTCAAATACAATATAAATGAAATATGCTCACTATAGGAAATTACGTCAGCATAAAGAATACATAGAGGGACGCCTGGGTGGTTCAATCAGTTAAGTGTCCAACTCTTGATCTCAGCTCAGGTTGTGAGTTCTAGCCCCACATTTGGCTCTCTGCTGGGCGTGAAGCCTACTTAAAAAAATACAAACACACACATATACACACACACACACACACACAGACGCACACACGTATATACACATGTGTATCATATATATGTAGAATGTTTATAATACGGTGTACTTAGAGATAACTATTGTCCATATTTGGTACATAGCCTGTGGTGTCTTTTCTACCTGTGCATGAACACATTATATGTATGTTGTATAAAACTTGAGTGTAGTTTATGCACTGTTTCATAAATAGCTACTTTCAGTTCCATATTATGAATATCTTTTTATAATAGCAGGTACATTTATGGTGACAGATATAAGTGCCCAGCCTCATCTCCTTTTATGAGACAGCCATTATTAAAAGTCCTTTTTGTATGCATTTTATTATATACTTACATTACTTTTATTGTCCAGGTTTGGCGAGTATATATTGTATGTCCAGTCTGAAGCATAAGGAATTTTGGGCATATCCACTTTCTTTTTTTGATGGCTGATATATTTTGTCCTTCTAGTAGATGCCTTTATTACTTTACATACCATACTTTTGCTACCCTTCTTTACCAACTTAGATAATATTAGCTAACTCCTTGTAATTAAAGATGAGGAAAATGAACTCCTCTCTTCCCTCTTACTATCCGGGCTCTTGAGTTTTGTTAAGTTATTACTACTTTTAATGGTACATTCAAATTGCAGAATTCTGTACAATTATTAAGAGGAATGTAGAGCTGTATCAATTGATCTGGAAAGAGCCATATGTTAGTGATATAATCAGGTTACAAAGAGCGTGATCCCACTTTTTTTGAAATACTGCGTGGGAGCGCAAGTATGCACACGGATATTCATAGAGGCCATCTCAGAGTTGTGTATATCTAGCATTAGAAGACTAATACTGCCACCACAGAGCTGTCCCCCGTGGTGGCAAGGGAGCTGGCTTTTTTTTCTTTTTTTTGGTTGTTTTCTATGTATTTATTTAGAATGTGGGGGAGGGGCAGAGAGAGGGAGGGAGGAGAGAATCCCAAGCAGGCTCTGTGCTGTCATGGCGGGGCTCAATCTCATGAACCGTGGGATCATGGCCTGAGCCGAAATCAAGAGTCAGACGCTTAACCGACTGAGCCTCCCGGGCGCCCCAGGAGCTGGCGTTTTGTATCCCCATGTAAGTCAGGCAGTGATTGCAGTCTGTCTGTAGGAGTTGGGATGGGTAACCTCCCGACCTGGGATGCACTGTCGCTGAGAGCAGCCCTCCAGCGAATGGTGCAGCCATTTGCCATCATCAGTTAACACAATAGCCGGGCAGTACATGTACTGGCTCAGTCGAAGGGATCTAGGGGAGACAGCGACAGTCTTCACTACCGTGGGTAAATCTAAGCAAACATTGCACGTGTAAAACAATAGTTCTGTCTGTTGGGGGTGGCCGGGCACTGCAACGAATGTAGAACTGATGTATCTGGATTTGTAGTGTCAAGTTCTCATACTGAACTTGAACCTCACCTCTTGAGTGGGCACGCGTATTAAAATTGTAAGAGCAATCCCTAAATGAATTATTATTAGTTGTGAACAAGTCACATGTCAAACATACCAATAAGCAATGCAGGCAAGAGAGGAAGAAGAAAGAAGCACAAAGGAAACTAAGTACGAAGCATAAAAAGAGACGGTAAAAGTCAATCCGAATGTGTCCATAATCGCACTTCAAAAGGAAAAAAGAACAGAATTCACAATACGATTTCACATAAATATCATTCTACGCCGAGTCCAGCAGTGGGATTAGAGCCACCGAAAAGGAAATGTTTCCAACACATCACCGTTCAGTAGAGAAGTCTCCAAGCCTCAAGATGTAAGAAAGCCCCTTTTCGTTTTCCTTCAAATCTTTCCAGCCCCACCCCAGTCTGGAACAGACTCAGCACCTAGCGTTTCTTTTAAAACAATTTTTTAATGTTTATTTTTGGGAGAGAGAGAGGGTGACCCGGAATGCAAAGCAGGCTCCAGGCTCTGAGCTGGCAGTCAGCACAGAGCCCGACTCGGGGCTCGAACCCACGAACCGCGAGATCATGACCTAAGCAAACGTCGGCGCTTAACCGACTAAGCCACACAGGCGCCCCCAGCACGCACTGTGTCTTATATCTCATGCAGCCTTTCTTGGATTACTTATATTTTTGGCTGAACTCTTCTTGAGTAATCCCTGCAGGTGTGGGAGGCAAACTTTCCGAGTTCTTGTATGCTTAAAATATCTTTTGTTCTCCTATAATTTAAGATTGACAATACTTTCCCTTTAGAATTTGGAAGACACTGCTCCATTGTATTCTACTATCTGATGTTGCGCGATGTCAGTCGGCTTTGGAACCTTTCTGAGTCACCTTTACTTTTGTATTTTTTTCTTTTCTTTGAAAGCTTTGTAGATTTTTTTCTTTTGCCTCAGAGTTTGGAAATTTCATAAATGTGTCTCTAAATGTGAGTTTTA